GGTTATAACCGCTATAATGTTCCAGAATTGCAGCGGTCATAGCCGCACATAGTTATGAAAAAAATAAACGATTTACAGGATTGTGGCGGTTAAAACCGCCACATTTCTGCACTATTGTGGCTGGTAAAACTGACACTAATGCCCAAAAATTTTCACTCATAGCCGCACCTAGTTATGAAAAAATTTTCACCTAGTTAAAAACCGCTGTAAAAAAAAATGATGCGATAGGGCATGATTTTTAGGTAGTGTCATCACCTTCTCTGAAGTCATGCAGTCATTGATGTAAAAGATTTAGGCTTCGTTTGGAATAGATTTTTTATTGCTTTCTAGATCTTTAGTTGACAAGCACTGTGATCATTTGTTTGACAATGGTAAAAAAAACCACTTATATAAAGGAAAAAGAGCATAATGATATAATTTATGATGATATGTACTAAAATTCTTTTGCCTTTGGTTATGGTACATTTGATGTGAACCTTTTTTAATGTGCAGATCTTTTGTTTTAGATCACATCAATGAGATGATCTAAATTACCTATTTTTTATACAGATTGATCTTCATGAAGAAGTTTAACCATTCATTATATTTAACTTAATCCAAAAGTTGGAATGTTCTAATTAATATTGTGAGAAGTCTCCTCGACAAGATCCTTTGGGACATACTACAAGACTTGCTTTGCTGTTGTGACATGGACTTATTGTTAAGCCACTTCTATCATGATTGCAATGGACATAGACTCAATGTTTTTTTCTTTTTTTGACGGCTAGACCAATTAAGAAAAATTCACACACTTCTCATACTAAGATGCGAATCCAAGACCTCTTAGTTGGTAGACAAAACTCTCAACCAACAGACCAAAAAAAGCTATGTGACTCAATGTTTTATTAAGAAAAATGACAAGTTTTCTTAAAGGGTCATAACACCTAAAACTATTGAAAATACATATTTAACACCTAAACTTCTATATTTATTAATATACCACAAAAAAATCCCCCTTTCCATCTATTCTACCGCTCCATTGAAGCGATGAGATACTTGTATTCGCTATGAAAGGATGCCATTGACGGAGAAGACAATCGTTGATAGTGATTTTTGACGAAAGGTTTAAATAGAATGTTAGAATTGATTAAAAGAAGTGTTTTGGGTGGTATATATATTAGTAAATATAAAAGTTTAGGTGGTAAATATGTATTTTCAATAGTTTTAGGTGTTATGTATGTAAAAATAACCCTAAAATTTTTGAATGTACTGCTCTAAAAGAGAGAGAGAAAAAACTAAACCTTAAACAAATTGGGATATTAGCAATATATTTTAAGATCTTTTATTAACTACGGGTTGGTTTAGGGAATTTTTTGATATCTTTGCTTTTCAAAAAGTAGTCACTTTCTTTTAATGCATCTTTTTTGTCATATTTAGAAAATTTTAAAGATATGAAGCAATTTTTTTTTTTTCCAATCAAATTTATTAGAGTATGCTAGCCATAAGAATGTTGATATCTAATTCCAAACAATATAATGTTGATAATACTTTAAAAAAATTATTTTTCTCATAATATATTTATTGTTATTTTTCAAATAATTATAGCGGACATGCCACCCTAAATAAGGGTGACATGGTGACAACCAAAGGGGTGTTTGGTAGCAAGATTTGCAATAAATCCTGCCAAATGATCCAAATAACCAAAACAAACCCTTTTTTAATATTATTTTGCCTTTGATTAGTTGCAAATCTTGTATTTATTAAATGTTGAAGATGGGTGTATTTATCTAATTAAATGATGAAAATTGTAAGTTGGCCTCACATGTAAACTCGTTATTGCGATTCAATTGATGTGTCGAGGAACTCTCGTTATGACTTTCTCACATCCTTTTCATCAAGGGTTTTAGATAGGAGCGAATGAAGGAGAAAGATCAACTATAAGCTATAATTTATGCTTTTTTAATTAATGCTTAATTAAAATATTATTTCTTCATAATTGTAATTTAATTATTGCAATTATGATTGATAAAAAATTATTAAGATTCAATCAACTAAATTAGCTATGGTTATATTAATTTATAAAATTGATTCAGGTTTAATGATTATGACTAGTAAATTAAAAACATTTAAATTAAATTAAATTTATATTATTTTTATTTAAATTGATTAAATATAACTTATAATTGAATTTGCTTAACAAATTACTATTTAATTACTAATTAATATATTATCTTATGATAAATATGATTTAGTTGGTGTAATTAAAATTAATATTGAGTAAATTAATATCAAAAATATATATATCACAAATATATAAATCCTAAATTAAACCAAATAGCTTACCTAAATTAAACCAAATGTAAAATCTACATATAAAATAATTTTTAATTCATCTACATTTGAGATAGGCTTCAAACACATAACTCCTTTTCCTCTCGCGTATGGTTCCCCGCTCTACTATGGCAAGGCCCTAGCCGCCTCTCCATGATTTGATCTATGTCTCCAGTGATCGTTTTGGTTGTCTCAAGAAAGTATATTGGACTTCTTGGTTTTCTTAGCTTTCTCTTTGTTAGTTTTGCTTTTTACTCCATGTCTTTTCCATCTTCGGCGATTCTTCCATCAATGATAGATGTGCGTTTGATGGATAGTTGGTATTTTTTATGGAAAACATTCTTCTCATTCTTTTGTTGAAGCCCTTTAGGGCTTTTCTTCCATGAAGGTCTTTCATGATCTCAAAGTTACTACCTATGTTGGATGATGTCTCTATGAATTTCGGATGAAGAGGTTCTTCATCTTGCAGACCCTTTCGAATTCACTTTGGTTGGGACTTTTCCCAATCGCAGTCCTTCTCTCATTATGATTCGGAAATTTTTTTCAATATCAAACTGTGCCATGTATTTTCGATTACCCTCTTGGGTGCTAACATGTTTTGATCAAACTTTATAATGATATGGATTACAGTAGAGTGTTTGCTCATAAAATATATTTTGTCTCCAATTGTTTATGAAACTGACCAAATGGTCCCCGTTCTTTAATATTATGATGGAATCCCCATTATTACCATATGGGTATCATTCCCCAACCTTAGCCTCATCTTTTATCTCCCCAGATTCTTCACAGTTTGGGCTCAATATTTGGTCGCCCGCTTAAAACGAACAATGCTGCTTCTATTTGGACACGTCCATCCATCGCTCGTGTGTTGGTCAAGCAAGATGTTTCTAAGCGATACATGATTCTATTTGGTTGGGATCTAGAAAATTCAATTATATTCAACAAGTTGAGATGAAAGAATTTAATAGCTCTATGATCGTTGCAAGTCATTAGGGCATATGAAAATTGAGTATATCATCCTCAACCCTAATTTACTTAAGGGTTCGCAAACTATTACAAAAGTTGTGCCTGTTGTTAATGTTACGGATACTTTGTGCTTTAAGGAAAATTTTATTAACAACAGTATTAACTCTCATGGTATTGTTAATAAGGAGTACTCCAATTTCGAGCCCACCGCTAATGTTAACTTTGGGGGTCTTGTTGATGGTGTTATTCAGGAAAACGTTAAAAATCGGGTTACTTTGGCTGCCCCTTCGTTAACTTCTGTTCTACCTCCTATTGTTTCTAGTTTTGAGCTTAATGGAGGTATTAATGCTTTGGTTGGTACTAATTTAACAATATTTGATGCTATTATTTCGGGTTAACATTATCCTACTCAATTGTCTGTAAGGGTTGTTGAACTTCCTATTCAGTTACCTGTGGAGAGTGTGGTGGAGATGTCCATTGTGCCTCCTTTTATTGGTGCTTTTGAAAACCCTCAATACATTCCTAGTTGTATTGATATGGTGGATCATTCGGCTGATGATAACATGATTAATGCGATTGCTGGTGGTGATGTTGCCTTAACTAAACATAATTCTCTTCACATTGCCTCTTTGTTGATGTTACTGATGGTATTGATGATTGTATTAGTGTGCCTTTAATTGTGAATTCTAATGTGAATCATCTTGATCATTATATCTTGTTAATCCCTTAAAAGTCGTTGGCTATTTGTGGAGCATAATGAGGATGCTAGTATTGGTTCTCATGAGGATTATGATATGAATGTGGTGCAAGTTGGTAATGATATTTTGCTGAAGTTGTTGGCAAGAAAAAATGATAAAAAATAAAAAATAAAAAAGTGGTGCAAGATTTTAAACTTTATGAAGATAAACCTACAAGATCTAAAGTACCTTCTAGAGTTTCCTGCTAATGGCGGTTTTTTTTTTTATGCTCTTCTTGTTCTTGTCCCTATTTGTAATTGTTGGTCTGGTGTTGGAGCTCTACTTTTGGGTATCCTCCTTTGCTCTGTTTGATTTTGCTGGAGGGTTTGTATTCTCTATGGCGTGTGGGTTGCAGTTGCTTACTCTATCGGTGCGTTGGTTGAGGTACTTCATGGGTTGTTGCTAGTTGTTTCTCGGGTTGGTTGTTTGAGCCCATTCTTCGGTTAGTTTAGTGGCTCCATGATTTATTTTGGTTTGCTGGCATGTAGATATGGATTCTTTGCCTTTTCCTTTGGTGTTGTTTTCTTTATTTTATTGCCTTACTATTTTTTTAGTTGCTTACAGGGCGTTTGTTACTTGTGGCTTTCTCAAGACCTGCTGTTGTGTGGGCCTTGCCTTATTTCAAATGTCCCTCTCTTGGGTGGATCTCTCAGTGTGTTTTGTTGTTTTTGTTGCTTCTCTTTCTTTTGGATGATTTCTTGTAATATATTGAATCAATGACTCATTAATTTTGCTTTAAATGTTATATTTTTAGATAACTTATAATCCATTAAAGATTTATAATCTTTTTTTTTATTTTAACGTGTAGGCCCTATATTAATTTTAGTATTTCATTAATAAAATTTACTAAATAATTATATCATGCTCGCAGCCATAAAGGACCGGAGAGTTCCTAAACTTCAAATCAAATTCACTGCCGCCAAGGGAAAAAGGAAAAAAAAAAAAAGCAAAGTCTCATCTCTCTCCTGCGACTCTGCCCTTTTTTGAGAATAATACTGTCGTCTGTGGTCTTCATTCCAGCGCCAAAGATAAAGACCTCACATCCAAAAAGAACTCATCTCCTACCTATGACCACCCTTTCAATTCATCCTCTCTCAAATTCGAGAAACATATCAGCAGACAATTAAAGCTCCGCCCTTTATCCCGCCGCATCAACAAACATAGCCTCTCGTCTCCTTCCTTTCATTTTCCTATCCAACGCCAACCATAACGTCACTCTTCCCCACTGCCTTTTCTGTTCTGGATTAAATGCCGCCATTAATTGCCTGCTTCTCCCTGCAACGGCCACCTCATTAAACCCAATTTCTGCCCAACGGTCTCTTCCCACAACAACATTCGGGTCTTTCAGCCACGCTTATGTCTTCTCTTACTCTGCTCCTCTCATCCATCATATTTTCCTTCTTTCTCCCTTCCGTTGCCGACCTGCCGCAGTTAGCTACGGACAAATCCGCGCTGCTCGAGTTCGCCGCCGCCACTCCTCACGCTCGCCTCCTTTATTGGGACCCTAGCACCTCACCTTGCCTCAACTGGACCGGCGTTTCCTGCAATGCTGACGGCTCCCGGGTCGTCGCCCTCCGCCTCCCCGGCTTCGGGTTCGTCGGCCCAATCCGATCTGAAATACTGACCCGCCTATCTGCACTCCAAATTCTCAGTCTTCGCTTCAATGCTTTTGACGGATCGCTTCCTTCCGACCTCGCCAATCTCTCCTCCCTTACCGCTCTCCACCTCCAAAATAATCATTTTTCAGGAAACATCCCTCCTTTGATCTCCAATCTCACCCGCCTCGTAGCCCTCAACCTCGCTGGCAATTCCCTCTCCGGCGAAATACCCGATCTGAAACTCCCCAGTCTCAAATTCCTCAACTTGTCTTACAACCACTTCACCGGAAGCATCCCGCCCTCACTCCTTCGATTCCCCGACTCGTCCTTCGCCGGCAACAAAATCTCTCCTTTTCCCCCTATTATAACCGCCCCTCCCCTTACGCCGTCCAAGAAATTGAGTGAGGGAGCTCTCCTTGGCATTATAGCTGCCGGATGTGCGGCATTGGCGGTGAGTACGGCCCTCTGCTGCTTGAGACTGAAAAAGGAGAGCATGGAGGTGGTGACCGGAGGGAAAGCGATGAAAGGAAAATGGCCAATGGAGAAGATGGAGGCTGTTAGCCAGGAAGGCAATAATACGCTAGTGTTCTTTAACGGTTCCACACTGGCGTTCGATTTGGAGGATTTGCTGAGGGCTTCGGCGGAGGTTCTTGGCAAGGGGACGTTTGGTGCGGCTTACAAGGCAGTGCTGGAGGATGGGACGACGGTGGTGGTGAAGAGGTTGAAGGAGGTGGGGATTGGGAGAAAGGAATTTGAGCTGCAGATGGAGGTGGTGGGGAAGATAAGGCATCAGAATGTGGCGGAGTTAAGAGCTTATTACTATTCCAAAGATGAGAAGTTGATGGTATATGACTACTTCAGTCAAGGGAGCGTGTACTCCTTGCTGCATGGTTTGTTCTTCCCTTCTTTCCATCACTTTGATTTATTCCTTCTATCTGTGCTGCAATGGCACAATTGTTTTTTATTTAAAAAGAATCTAGGTTGAGAAGAAGGACATACACGAGAGAAGTTTTGTTTCATTAATTTTGTTATTGTTAGGGCATTTCCAACCAAAAATCTCATTTTTAACTTCAAAATGCAGTGAAATTAAAAAATGACTTGATTCATCTCCAATCGAACTCCATTTTGCGTCAAGGTAACCGTCTTTCTTCTTTGCGCGTTTCTTCGACAAATACGGTAGAGACAGAAAAATAACGCAGGTGAAAAGTGTAACCCCAATATTGGCATCGCACTATTCACCTGCAACCAAATACTGGAATTTTTGCCGTTCGACTGAAGCTCACGAGCAACTTCATCCATGCGTTCGGAGTTCGATTGGAGAAGGCCTCAGCAACGTTCCATATCAATATTTGTTTATATATTTCTACAGGGAAGGGAGAGGAAGATAGGGTTCCTCTTGACTGGGAAACCAGACTTAATATAGCCCTCGGTGCTGCAGTAGGAATCGCTCACATCCACACACAGAACAATGGAAAACTTGCTCATGGAAACATCAAATCCTCAAACATTTTCCTCAACGAGCAACAATATGGCTGTGTTTCAGACCTTGGCTTAGCTGCTGCGCCTATAAACTCGACAGCCCTTTCTATGTCGTCCCGTACCGCCGGCTATCGCGCACCGGAGATCACTGAAACAAGGAAACCATCACAGTCGTCAGATATCTACAGCTTCGGCGTAGTCCTTCTTGAGCTCCTCACCGGAAAACCTGCCATACAGATAGTTCGGGGTGGCGATGAGATCATCCACCTGGTTCGCTGGGTGCAGTCGGTGGTGCGCGAAGAGTGGACAGCCGAAGTGTTTGATGTGCAGTTGCTGAGATATCCGAACATAGAAGAGGAGATGGTGGAGATGCTTCAGATTGCGATGGCGTGTGTTGTGAGGGTTCCAGAGAAGAGGCCTCAGATGTCACAAGTGGTGAAGATGATCGGTGATGTTAGAAAATTCGATAGCCATAACTGGCTTTCAACAGAAGAAAGAGAAGATTAATTAACTTGTAGCATAAATTTCATGGGAATATCGTCATCTGTTGAGTGTGTTGATGCATCTTTCCTTTGAATTGATAGCAATCATTGTGTCAAGATGGAGTTTTATAGGTTGAATTGCTGGTGAAATTAAGATTTTTTTTTTTTATTTTACTTGTGTTTCATACTTTCATTGTCGTTGGATTAACTTGATTGCACAACTAGCTTTGATCATTTAGGCATGTCTCAAAAAATTTCTTGTAGCGTAATATCGTACATATGCAACACTTCTCTCTCTTTCTCTCTTGCTCTAATGGACTAAATACAAAGAGAAATAATAAATCAGAATCTACAAAACACAAATGAACATAAGAGATTTACGTGGAAAACTTAAATTTGGAAAAACCACGGAGGAGAATGGAGTAAATCACAATCTAAATAACACAAATGAATACAAAAGATTTACGTGGAAAACTCAAATCTGGAAAAAAACTACTAAGGTGAAGGAAGAATGGTTTCACTATAAAAAAGAAGAGTACAAACGGCTTACAAACTATAAGCACTTTAGAATATATTTATAAGTCAAAAATAGGGCAAATTATTACATCCGGTCACCGGACGCGGAGATAAGTCCGGATATTAATAAAATATTATTTTAAATTAAGTGTGTCAAAAGCGCATGCAAAATGCAGTCAAAGCGCAGTCAAAAGCGCAGTCAAAACGCAAGTAAAATGCAGTCAAAGCACACCTAAAGCGCAATTAAAAAAGCAGTCAAAGCGCAGTTGACGTGACAAGTTTTAATTGGGCGTCCGGACCTAATAATTTGCCCCAAAATAGGGCAACCGAAAACCAAGCGGAATTCTAAAAATACCCTTACAACCAAATTTTGTTTCAGATTCGAACCTCACAAAGGGGTGCTGCCCCCTTGAACCTCTGATATATCTGCGAAGCATATGACGGTCAAGAACATGAACAAATAAGGAATGAGCAAAATTAGAGGCAACACCAACAAGAGAGAGAGAGAGAGAGAGAGAGAGAGAGAGAGAGAGTTATGAATTGGGCACCATGTATTTTTCTTTGGCTAGGTCCTCAAAGGAAAGAGAATCGTTCAGATTGCTTTGTCCCAAGAAAAACTGGAATTTTGCATGAGCTGCCCAATTTGAAATTGAAAGCTTATGAAAGTAATGCAGGTTAAAGTTACTGAAGACAACATGCTTTAAAATTCGAGTAATGCTACTCTGCTTTGTCCGTTTGAAAGAAACTTTCATGCGTTGTCCAAGTGAAGACAATCCAGCTTTGATCTGAATTTTGTTTTCGTTGCTGATTCGAGAATTTTGGTCTCTTTGGGTTCTGAGCTATGATGCGTCACCTGTTCTTTATTTTGAAGAGTCAAGCGCTTCGTGGCTATCGCAGCTGTTGGATGGAGCTTGTCATTTTTGCCCAGAAAAAAATCTGCTTCATGATATTCTCATATAAAACATATTATAATGAAATTTATTTTTTTAATGCAGAATAAGTCTTTTTTTTTTCTTTTACCTGGGCTATCTGGCACTCTGTCCCAGTTGTTTATTCAATGATTTTTTTTGTGACCGAGTGTATATTTTGAGAAATTATTCCGTGTGGACGTCGAATACATGCAGCTCTATATCCGGTTATCAATCAGAATGAGTCACATCAACGATACCGAGCCTCGCTACCGAGCAATACCGACCGTGCGATACCGAGGATACCGAGCTGTGGGCTTAGGTATCCGGACGGGTTCCGATTCGGCATAGAATAATTTTTCGTATATTTTGGCTCTTGGTTTTGGCTGCTACACTCCCGTAGTTAATCTTTCAGTAGTTGGTTTTCTTTGACCAGTACATTTTGGCTTTGCCCTTTAAGTTTCTCAATAAAATAAAATAAAAGAAGACAATGCAACTTTTAATATATCAGCGGGCATTGATTCAAATGATGAGATACACAGCTTTTGTCGTTTCATTCCGCACTCTTTACTAAGTTGAAGTTTGCGGTATTTTCTCCTGACATAAAAAGATTTAGGGCTGTTTGATTGGTAAAAAAAATAGGAGCTATTTGGTTGGCTAAAATAAGAAAATAATGTAAAATGAATATTAAAAAATATATATAATGGAATTATTTGAATGAGTGTAAAGTAAATTTAAATAAATGATTTTTTTATTTGGTTTGTAGTAAAGTGAATGTAGGGGTTGTTTGTTTTTTAGGAAAAGGAATTTAGTCTAAAAGCATTGGTTTTTTTTTTAGACAAAATACAAAGTAAAGTGAAATCACATTGTATTATGAATTCGTTGTATCGTCCCAAGATCTAATTCGGAAAGAATTTCAATCAATCTATTAAAACCATCAATCATTTACCAGAGCTATCTATAATCTTCAATCAATAACAAACAGTCTAACAAAATCTATATGTTAAAATATCAATGTACAATTCTATTCATATTCCAAAAGTTCATATATAATACTCAGGATCTACACATTAAACAAAAGAAATCTATCCTGTCATGAGTACAAAAGAATCAAAACTCAAAATCTTCGAAAATAGAAATAGGATTCGGATTCCTTACCGCGAGACAAACAAATCTTCCAACTGCGTCGTCGGACGAAAAGCGCTCCGCGGGCTCCAAAACCAAGTTTTTTCCTTACTTTCCTTCGCTTTCTCTCTCCTGCCTTCGCTTTCTCTCTCCTCCAAATGAATCCAAAATATCTCAAATCCGATACTTATCAAGCAGGATCGTCCCGGGCGATCCAAATTCGTCCCGGGACCAACTCCGCTGGACACAGATCGTGAACCAGATCGTCCAGACGAAATTAAATGCCAATTTCGTCGTCCCGGGATGAAACTCTCGGGTTCAGTTCGTCCCGACTGTTCCAGGTTCGTACAGACGAAAATGACAGATTTCTTCACAATTTTCTTCAGTTCGTCCCGTACTAAGGCGAGTTCGTCCGGACTAACAGCACTCACAAAAATCAGCTTTTTAAGGGTTTTACAATCTACCCACCTTAAGAAAAATGTCGTCCCCGACATTTCCCTTAAGTGATCGAATGCAAAATCGATATAAAATAAATTCGTCCAATCAAAACTCAAATCAAAATCAAATCGAATCAGAATCGAAATCAAAACTCGTCAGAATCCATACAACATCCAATTCATTCAATCACATGTCACTTTGCATGATCATATGTCAATCAATCAATTAGTCAAATAATCTTACCAGTAGAACTTTCATGTCGTTGTTGATCTTCATTATACTGTAAACTGTATATACGTGGCACCACTGGAGGAAGTGCAGTAGATCGTGGTGCAACGGTTTCCCTCTGATTATCACTGACAGCTCTATCATTCATCCTGTTCATTGATCTTTCACTATATGCTCTTGAGCCAAAAGTCCTCTGTCCTACAGTACGTCCAGACTGTCCTGTGCCAGAATCAGTTCTTCTTCCAATTTCCTTCTGAGGATAATTTGCTGCTCTATGTCCTTGTTGTCCACAATGAAAACATTGCCCCATCAATAAGTAACACTGACCTGCATGTCGTTGACCACAGTGAATGCACTCGCTGTAGTTGCCAGAAGATGCTACCGATGCAGATCCCCTTGAATCACTATATTTGCTTCTCTTATCCCTATCTCTTTCTCTACTTTGTTCATCTCTTCTACTTGATTCATCTCTACTCCTCATGGTACTGACCTCATATCTTGATGCTGGTGCTACCAAATCAATCTCTATCAGTCTAGCTCGTTCCACCAACTCAGAAAACTCATGAATCCGTAAGGGTACTACGGATGTCTCAGCTCTCTATTCAATCCTTGCAAAAATCTATAGCACTTTTCTTCAGCAGTGGGGATTAAATGAGAAGCATACCGAGCAATTGCAGTAAACTCAGCCTCGTACTGCATCACCGTCTTGCGTCCTTGCTCCAACTTAGTAAAAGCTTCTTGCATTTGTCGTTGGGCTGAAGGAGGTACAAACCACATCCGAAACACTGTAGTGAACTCATCCCAGGTGATCTCAGCATTTGTCTTCCCCTGAAATTTCTTTCTCTGCTGTCCAATCCACCATCTCTCTGCTTCTCCTTCAAACATAAACACAGCCAAAGGTACCTTTCAATTTTTCGGACACTGCATGCTATCAAAGGTCTTTTCTATCCTCATTATCCAATCCTCAGCAACCTGAGGTTCCACAGCTCCTTTGAACAACGAAGGCTTCAACTTATGAAACATCTGTAAATGCTTATCTACTTCTTCTTCTTTACTTCCAACCAACTTACTCTGTGCATCTCCCATTACCTGCGCTATAGCAGTAGCCAACTGCATCATACTTTCTGAAGGTACTGGAGCTGCACTGTGTTGCTCATTTGGTGCACTTGACTCTGGATTATCCATTTACCCTTTTTCACCTGCACAATTTAGTATAATAGGGATGATACACACATGCAACTATGTATGCAACATGATGCACTTGAACTACCCATTCTACCCAACTCTCAATCAAATCCTATAACTCTGGTAACAATCAATTCTTCCAAAAACATTACTCTGATACCAATAATTTGTAACGCCCCAAGATCTAACTTGGAAAGAATTTCAATCAATCTATTAAAACCATCAATCATTTACCAGATCTATCTATAGTCTTCAATCAATAACAAACAGTCTAACAAAATCTATAAGTTAAAATATCAATGTACAATTCTATTCATATTCCAAAAGTTCATATACAATACTCAGGATCTATACATTAAACACAAGAAATCTATCCTCTCCTGAGTACAAAAGAATCAAAACTCGAAATCTTTGAAAACAGAAATAGGATTCGGATTTCTTACTGCGAGACAAACAAATATTCCAACTGCGTCGTCGGACGAAAAGCGCTCCGCGGGCTCCAAACCCAAGCTTTTTCCTTACTTTCCTTCTCTTTCTCTCTCCTGCCTTCTCTTTCTCTCTCCTCCCAATGAATCCAAAATATCTCAAATCCGATATTTATCAAGCAAGATCGTCCCGGACGATCCAAATTCGTTCCAAGACGAACTCCTCTGGACACAGATCGTGAACCAGATCATCTAAACGAAATTAAATGCTAATTTCGTCGTCCCGGGACGAAACTCTCGGGTTCAGTTCGTCCCAACGGTTCGTCCCGACTGTTCCAGGTTCG